CTTATTGGTAATATCAGCCTTGGGCACAGGGCCCGTTTAAAAAAAAAAAAAAAAAAAAAAAAAAAAANTTTAAAAAAAAAAAAAAAAAAAAAAAAAAAAAAAAAAAAAAAAGGCAACACGATTTTCAGTAGTCTCTTCGGGGACAACCTTAAATTACTTGGTGCCTCAGCATCGAACGTTACTCCTGTCATGTTTTAGGGACGAGATAAGAAGAAGAAGGGGAACACTTGTTCTAGGGCTTGTCCATTGAAAGACTTGAAGCATGCAGCCCCTCAGAGGGAGGATTGCCATTCAACAAAGGACTTAGATACGAAGACGGGAGGGTAAGAAAGCAAACTAATTCGTAGAAGGAAGCATGTTAGACCAGGGGAACTAGGGGACCTCACCACTAGCAACCCGGGATGAAGAGGAAAATCCTAAGGACTACTTGGAATTTGTTGTTCCGCGTCTATTCCAAGAAGGATGAATCCACTTCGACCTGGTTGCAGATGCCGATCAGATTTTCATGTTCAACCCAAAGAAGGAAAGCGAACTCTGAGGATAGTCTCCCAGTAGCATAAACTACTGCAGAAGAAAGCGAACTCTGAGGATGGCATCCCAGTGATTTATCCGAATTCAGTTTTACCACTCAGTCTATCAAGGGTGAAATGAACTGCGTCGCCAATGCCTTGTCCCACCGTCCTGACCACAATCACGAACCCATCCACCTTGGTGCCATCTCGATCACCACCATTGATCAGTCGGTGATCGATGCATATTGCACTCAATACCTCCACTGTCCGGATTATCGTGTCCTCCACGTGACACTGCGGAGTGGCAAGACTATTGCTTCATACTCCCACGGTAAGAATAGTCTCGTGTATTGGCATGATAGATCTGATCAGCTAAAGCCTCGTATCTGCGTTCCCTCCACTGGACAGTTCCGTGTCCAGGCCTTAGCAAAGTTCAATGACCAGGCAATTGCTGGTCACATGGGCTTCCACAGGACGTTGGCTTGTATTTGCCACCTATATGTTTGGCTGAAGCCCAAGAACTTCATCAAAGTCTACGTCCGGAAGTGTCATACCTGCTAGGAGGTGAACAGTGTGAACCACCTTCCATAATGGGTTACTTCCGCCCCTACCCATACCTGAGGGTTGTTGGCAGTCCATCTCGATGAATTTTGTTGGTCCTCTCCACCCACCCACTGAGCGTGGTCATGATGCTATCTTGGTCGTCGTCAATCACTTCACAAACCGTGCATGTTTTGTCCCATGCCGCTATCGCATTAGCACTCGTGAGGTCACCGACATCGTCTTCGGCCGAGTCGTGAGAGATCACAACTTTCCTCAGAGAATCATCTTCAACCATGACCCGCGTTTTAGCAACACATTCTGGCGACGCCTACACGAGATATACGGATCCAAGTTCCACTTTTCATCGTCTTACCACCCTCAGACGGATGGTCAGGCTGAGTTCACCAATAAAACTCTCGGTAGTATCCTCTGAAAGTTTATTATGGATGACCAACATTGAGATTTACACAGCCCACGCGGAGATTGCGTACAACCACGTCGTTTCGCCAACCACGAGGATGTCACCATTTTATTGCAACCTCAGCTACCACCCTCGTGTACCCATAAATTTCTTACGACCATCGCTTGAAACGGATACGCTTTGCAAGTTTAGGCATCACTTTTTCGGTCCATGCTGCATCCTTCAGGTGATCGGTTCTGATACTACCGCTAGTCCGGTGAACTTCCGTGTGAAGCTACCTTTACCTTCAACAGACTTGCGTACACGATGTTTACCATGTCTCCTTGCTGCGTCCTTATCGCAGACCATCTGAGCGCTTTATCGTACATCCTTATGAGCGCCCTCCACCTATTATGGTGGACAGTCACGATGAGTTCGTCGTTTTCAACATTGTATCTCGCCAAGTTACCGACGATACCTCTCCGCGCATCGAGTACCTTGTGTGTTGGAAATACTATCCTAATGAGGAGGCTACATGAGATACGTGTCTGATTTTCGATTCAAAGGGGGTTTCCCGTTGAAAGTTCAACGACCGGTGAACCCCCGTTACAACGTTGCGTTATAGTACCACGTTAGAACGCGGTATAGCGCGGTCCGCAAAAAAAAAATTCGCAGATAAAAAAATAAAAATAAAAAAAAATGGGGGTGTAGATTTTTCTGCACTCTATATCCCCATATTTTTATTTTTATTTTTTAAGCATTAAAATTAATTTTAAACAATAACAAACCTAACCTGACTCAAAACACAACGATTTTTTTTTTTTTTTTTTTTGATTGATTGATTGATTGATTGATTGATTGAT